AGAGGGGTTCTCAGTCTTGGGGATTAGGGTCAATAACGCTTCATTAAGGGTCCTAATTCTGCTAGGGTTCCTAAAACACGAAAGGATAAACGTAGTAAAGTCAGGACCAATAACTTTCCAGCATTTCTGGTAGAAGATGGACAGGAAGCCATCCTTTCCAGGTGCCTTCAGGCCATTCATCTCCATAACAATGGTTCTGATCTCCTCAGGGGCAGGATGAACAACCATTCTAGCTATGAGAGAATCATCCAGGAGAGGAAAGGAGGCAGGAAGGTCATGCAAAAGTATAGAAGTGTCTTTGGTATACAAGGTAAAGAAAAACTCCCTGGCCATTTTTTGCAGGGCCTGCTCATCAACGATCCAATTTCCTTGATTATCTTTGCGAGCAAGGATTTTGTTTCTTCTGAGCCTACTGAGGGTGCTGTTGTGGAAGAAACGGGTGTTTTGGTCACCATGGATCACCCAATTAGCCCTCGACTTCTGGATCCAAAGCATCTCTTCTTCCCACAGAGTGTGCTCCAGAGAGATCCTGACTTCTTGCTCCCTTTCAAGAGAAGTCCTATCAGGACTTCTTTCATTGAGGATTTCCAGAGATTTCAACTCCTTCAGCAATTGTTTCTTCCTGCTGAAGATGTTTCCATACACCTCCTTGTTCCATTTTTGGAGAGCTTCAGTGATACTCTGCAAAGACGAGGGGAAATCACAACCACTTTTCCAAGAAGAAACAAAGAAAGGAAAGAAATTCTCATGAGTCAACCAAGAAGCAAAGAAATGGAAACGTCTCACCAAATTCCTTTTTTGAGTCTGTCCAGAGGTGTAGGTGAGGATAGGCCTGTGGTCCGACTTGAGTTTAGGAAGATGCAAGGTGGTTGACAGAGGGAACTTCTGCTGCCACTCCAAATTACAGGCACTTCGGTCCAGCCTCTCCTTAATCTTGGAGCCTTTAGTGAACCAAGTGAACTTTGGCCCTGAGTACCCCAAGTCAATTAGGCCACAGTCTTCCAAACAACTATTGAAAGCTCTGGCTTTGGCAAAGCTAAATCCAGCCCCTCCTTGCTTTTCCCATGATCTCGAAATGGAGTTGAAGTCCCCTGTGTTTAGCCAAGGCAGCTGGGTATTCCTCTCCATTCTCCTCATGGCAGTCCATAGCTCCCCCCTTTCATGCTCATTAGGACTTGCATACAGCGCCGTCAATTGGATTTTGTTATTGTTAGCCAGAGTGAACTTGAGATTCAGATACTGCCTATGCTTATCCACATCTTCTAAATTCATCTTGCTCTCATTCCAGAGGACCCAAATTCCTCCACTAAAGCCAGAGGCATCCAAAACTTCTCATGTATCAAACACCATTTGCTTGATGACAGAGATGGCATCAACACCACTAATTCTTGGTTCTAAAATACAAACAATGTCTGGACTATGGTTCTGAGGATACAACTTAAAAGTAGACAAGAACTTGGGGTCCTTAGCACCCCTACAGTTCCACGAGAAGACTTTCACCATTGGGAAAAGGTAAAAGGGACTTCCCTGGAGGACCCAAAGGTCAGTTAAGCTCCTTTATCGACGGCCATGGCCGTCTCATCACTCTCTGCTTGCTCAGTTGTTGAAGCAGGCGAGTGTTGTGCATTCTCTGGCATCATCAACCCTTTCCCCAGTGTAGAGCTGAAATTAATCTTCCTGGGTAGGTTACATCCATTTTCTGGGATATCCTTCCTTTGGTTAGACGAGCCACTTGCCTCAGTGGATGAATTGCTCATCTTCATTTTGGGTTGATGCCCAGTTTTAGCATCTTTCCCTTGTACCCTGTCCATTCTAAGCTTGTCTGTCTCATTACTGGGTGATGGATAACTTCCACTAGGTTTCCCTTGATTAGGAATCTTTGGTGGGGTGATGATCGTCTTCCCAGTTTGTTGGACCAGCTTCTTATTAGAGACAGACAACTCCTTCTTCTTCTCCTGACTAATGGATTTGGCTTTCTGCTTAGAGAAGTCTGGGGAGATTTTCTGATTCTCTTTCTTCATTAAGTTCTTCTGATTTTGGGTCTTATCTTTGTTCTTCTACTTCCCCTTTGATTCCTTCCCTTTGGTGTTTCCATTCTCTTTGTCCAATTGGGTAGTTTGCTTTTCATCCTTGTTGGGTTTCACCTTCTCTGTCTCTCTTTCCTGTTTTTGATTATCCTGGTTGTCGTTCTTAGATGTTACACCTTCCTCAGTCTCAACCACTGTTTCTTCTTCCTCAACATTTTCCAGCATCTTGAAACGAGAACCTGTTCCACTACTTTCCTGAGTCCCTTTATCCTTGTGCATTTCTTCCTTTGCTTTCACCTTCTGTTGTCTTTTGTTTCTTTTGTTTCTTGTGGCGAGCATCCATGGCCCAAAATCTTCCACAACCTCAGGTCTGATTTCCTGACTTTCATTCCCTGTTGGTCCATTCTCTGTTTCTCCTTCTTGTGTTTCAGCTTCATTTTCTCCCTTGCTGGGGCATTTCTCCTCAAGGTGCACATAATGTCCACACGAGAAACAAACTGTGTGCAATCCCTCATACTCAACCCTTCGAACCCTTCTTTTCACTCTGTACTTGGACACTAGTCGTTTGCGTAGGTCGATTTCGATGCAAATTCGGGCATAGTTACCCCTAAAGCCATTCATAGTGTTATAATCAATCTTCTCCACACGACCCCAGCTTATTGCCAATGTCAGTGAGGATCTCCTCGTCAAAGTAGGCCAAAGGGAGTCTAGACAGCCTGACTCAGGTAGAGATTCTGTCAATGGTATCAAGATATGGGTCAAAGTCCAATCTCCATGGTTCAGCAACGACGTAATGGTTGTCAATCATCCACAGACCGCCATATGGTGCTCTGTCGTGATCAAGCTGTGAATCGAAAATTGCTTGGCAGTAACCATTGCCTATATCACCCACCTTAACCGCGCCCGTCTTAGCCCACATTTTCTGTATTCTTCTATGTGTGTAAGCGAAAGGGAAATGCTTACCTAGAACCTTGAAGGTGATTGCCCGATTCCACCTCTGCTGGATTCTCGAATTCGTTCTTTTCTTGACTCTAATTGTTGGGCAGTCTGGGTCATCATCCCCTTCCTCATTATCCGATTCGTCGGACATCAATTCGTCCCCATCGGGGCTTCGGGCATCGGCGAGTTTCCAAGGAAGGAGTCCTTATACGAAACATTTTCTCTAACCTGCTTAGATCCCGTGGTCTCCCTGTGTTCCTCCCCATCGATCTGCTTCTCTGCACTGTCCATTTCTGCATCCTGCTCTCTAGCTGTAATTACTGCAAAATCCATTTCTCCTTGGCCGGAGAATCCGTCGCTCGAGCTTGCTTTGGCCTTCTTACTGGGTTGAAACATGCGTATGACGTCAAAAATTTCTGGTTTAAGCCCACCAATAAAAGAGCCACCAATACCTCATCGATCTGACCATAACATCGGTTACCCAACTTCTCGAAAGCCAAGAGGTAGTTTATATTATTTTTGGTTGATTTGACATGGATATTGGTTGATTTTATTAATTGTATTAGTTTTGATATTGCTTTAATTGATATTTGTTTTGGTTTCTGCCCGTTGTAATTGCTACTGATCTTTTGTTTTGGTTTTGGTTGATATTGGTTTTTGTAACTGCTTTTTTTTACGGGTTATGTTGTTGCTGTTGTGAATTGTAATACTAGGAGACGTTAAGACAGAGCTCAATCCGACTAACTCGCACATCAACCCGTAACTTGTCCGACCTGTAACCCGCTCAACTCGCAACTCAATTAGCCCGCAACTCGACTGACCCGTAAGTAAATTAACTCAAACTCGATTAAACCCATAACTTGGTTAACCCGAACACGTTTGATCTGAATCTGACTAACTCGTGACCCAGTCGACTCAGTATAGCAGCTCCTGGACCTGGAGGAGATTACTCAAAATAAGAGATAAGATAAGGCCATGGATACAGCAGCGAGATGGTGAGTTCTATTGGGGAGCAAAATTGATGCAGGTGTATTCTGTTCGACTGGTTTGGGAATCCTTGAGTGCAAAGCAATCAGCGGTGTCGTGGTTTAAGCTTGTCTGGAGTAAGTTCTGTCCCCCTCGATATAGTTTTATTGCTTGGCTTATCGTGAGAAATGCTATAGTGACGATGGATACTAAGATGGAGGAAGGTGACAATAGCTTCTTGTCCATTGTGCACATTTCAAATGGAAACAAGGGAGCATATGTTCCTACACTGTTCCTTCGCTCGTATTCTTGTCTCGAGTTTAAATTGCAGATTATTTGCTGTTGGAGATTGGGATACAATGCTGGATACAACTTGTTCTTTGGTTCGGCCCTCAGGGAATGTGAGATGGCATGGGGTTGTGTGGTGTATGGTGTTGACTTATTATATATGGCGAGAGCGCTGCAAGGTTGTTCATGGTGGCGCAAGCCCAGATCCTGGGAAGGTTGCTGCCCAGCTGCAAGCAGATTTGTAGTGCTTAGTTGCTGGAAATGCTATGTTGCAAGGGGATCTAGCACAATTGGGGTATCATTGATTTTCTATTTTGATAGGTTTGAGTGGTTGAGGGTATAGATATAAGCATAGTGGAATATAGCAGTGGTTTTGATCCGACACAGAGCTTTAAAGCTTTGTCTTCGCTGTATTGGTTTCCTTTTTCGCATTAATAAGAGAGAAACCGATTCAACGGAAAAAAAAATTCATTCTAAACCTATGTAAAATCATTTTTTCAATTCGTATAAGGAATTTAAAAGTATGAAACTCACTCGACTTATGTATTTTAATAAAATTAAAAAAATAAAAACATGAAGGTTACTTGAACACTAAGTTCTTTAACATAATTAAAAAGATAAATATAAAATCAGCACAATGACAATATTGATAATAAATAATTAATAATTGAGTCATTGGACAATATTAATATAGCATATATAAATTAAAATTTAGACTAATTTAACTATTCAACAAAGTTATCAATTAAATATAAATAGAGTAAAGTAATGTATTTGGTAATTTGATAGTTTTAAAAGAAGATGAAAGTTTTGGTGTTTTCAACTTTTTGCGAAGAGAAAGAAAAGGGAAATTTGGTGCTTTCACTTTTAGAGAAAAGGAAGAAGGGGGGATTTTGGTATTTTTTATTTGTGAGAAGAGAAATTAGAAGTGAGAAAGTTTGTTTTTTTATTTATGTAAAGAGAAATAAGGAGGAAAATTTTGTCATTTCAACTTTTTGAGGAAGGAAAGAAGAGGCAAATATTCTTTCAATTTTAGTTTTGATGGAAGAGAAAAAAAGAGGAAAACTTGAGTGCTTCCAATTATGGAAGGGGAAAGGAGGGAAACTTTAATATATATATATTTTTTTTTGCGAAAAGAAAGAAGAAAACTATTTTGGTGTTTTCAACTTTTTGGTGTTTCAAAATTTAAGTCTTTTAAATATGAATCTTTAATTTATATGAAGGGCATGACTAATTTACTATATTATAGTCTTATAGAAATAACTATTTGACTATATTAGATTTGAGGATCTATCATGAATTATCCCATCTTCAATATATTGTCACCCGAATTATCTCAAATGCATGTATTTTACATTATAAATCATATACCTAATTACTTATCAATTTAATTATCACAATATTTGCGTACGAATTATGATGATTTAGGAGTTTAATATTTAGTGACTAAGACATTGTCTATAGTAAACCTTATTATAGTCTTATAAGTTATAAGGGCTTATGACTAATTGGTTATAGTAGATTTGGGAACATATCATGACTTAAAAGTTTAGCATTTGGTAGCTAAGACATTGTCTATTGGAGAACCTATCATGAGTCATCTTATCATAATAAACCAATCGTTTCTGTTATAATACAAATAATCTAACACCCACTATATGAAATAATTTACGAATTTCTGATAAACAATGTACTTATCTGACTATATGAACTAATTAGTTTTACTATTTTTAGGGTAGGAGTTATTTTATTTTGCAGGTTATATATGTAATTCTCTATGGTTTAGTAACTAGACTAACCATTAGTTACAACAATCACTTGTTTTAAAAAATTTACTTAATTTGTCTACTTGTTTTATATGCTTCTACATTTATTGCAACTTCAGCCCTACATGATTGTTATTTTACAACACTAAGTAAACCTTAGGCACATTTAAGTTGTGTTCGAATTGAATTTTGATTTCAAAATGAGGATTGAACTGGTCTGTTAAGTCATACTATTGCAATAACTCAATCATCTAAAAGAATACAAAATTAATGTTGCACTTTGACAGGTTTATTAAACTTTTATTAGTATTTCTGCCAATAAATCTTTTATAAGTACATATATGAAAATGAGGTAGAAACAAATTTTCTAAAAATTGCAAAAATAAATAAATTGAAATTAGTGTAATAAATAAAGTGTAAGTTGTAACGAGTAAAGAGTAAGCAACACAGGATCTGACCACAATAACCCGCACCTAATATGCATGCAACCCATCCGCCCAATAATCCGATCAACCCATAACCGATGGACCAGGAACCGGATGAACCCGCAACTCAACTGCCCATAACTCAATGAGCCCGTAACCCGACTAATCCGAATCCAACTAACCCGCAACCCGATGAGCCCACAATCCTACTAACCCATCACCCAATGAACCCAAAACCTACTAACATGCAACCCGACTAACCCGCAACCCGATGAACCCAAAACCAGACTAACCCACAACCGATGAATCCGCAACCCGACTACCCGCAACCCGATGAATCCGAACCCGACTAACCCACAACCTGAAAAACTTGAAACTCTACTAACCCGTAATCCGATTGAACCAAACCTGAACCTGCCCGAACCCCTGGTTGGTTGCATTGGTAGCAGTTAATATTGGCATGGTTGTTCCCCCCCCCGCAACCCGATGAACCCAAAACCAGACTAACCCACAACCGATGAATCCGCAACCCGACTACCCGCAACCCGATGAATCCGAACCCGACTAACCCACAACCTGAAAAACTTGAAACTCTACTAACCCGTAATCCGATTGAACCAAACCTGAACCTGCCCGAACCCCTGGTTGGTTGCATTGGTAGCAGTTAATATTGGCATGGTTGTTCCCCCCCCCCCCCCCCCCCCCCCCCCGCATTGAGAACTGTAGTTTTGCTACCGATTATTGTATTGTTACGGTTGTGATACTGGTTGGTTGGAGTGGTAGCGGTTGGCGGTATAAAGAGTTGAGATAAAATTGAAAGTTGATGAAATTTAATGCCAAATTTGAATGTTATTAAAAACTGCAAAATACTTAATGGTGGGCACCATATCTGCTCCCAACTTTCTCATAATGGATTAGGAGTTAGGACAACAAACGGATATATAGTATTATCTTTTTGATTGTCAAACAGATCATGTTATAGTATAATGGCGTATATTTGATACGGATCATATATATATACACATATAAATATAGCCATTTGTTCAAGTTGTCAACTGCTAATTAATTCTGAAAGTCATATTCGAGGTGTTTGCTTAACTGGACGCATTTCGAGATGTAATTGGCACATATTTACTTCAACATTCAATTTTATTTTTGTTTATTTTGGAGCTGGAAAGGAACAATTTAGGCACACAAGTAAACAGCAACCTGCATGACAAAAGTCATCTTTTCCGTGATTAAGCAAATGGAAATGTTAGTTGAGCCACAAACATTAATAAATAGTGATTTGATATGTCTTAAATAAGAGTGCATATAGTACTCCTTCGATTTTCATCTTCTCACTTGTCTTGAAATCCAGCACAGAGCAGAGAATCAACTTACTTTCGTGTAATCGATTCACCACTTCTAATTGATGAAGCTCTATCAACCTATGATGATATTCTCTCTCCTACGATAAACTAGTAATCAGCAGAAAGTGATTTAAGACTCAAAGGATTTCTAAATAATGCATCAAATATATATATAACGTCGAGTTCCACGATCATGGGTTCAAACACATCGATCCTAACATACAAAACTAGGATTCTTCATACCCAAGTGAGAAAGAGCTTTACTCCATAGAGAGAGATCAACACACTGGGGAAAGAAATCATCATGGTGTAAGTAGGCAATGAGAATCTGCTCTGAAATGGTGATCTTCACTAGGGATGAAACTTGAGCTCCACTGGTGGAAGGATGGCTCAAATAAGCTCTCTAGGGTTCTTCTAGCTCATTTTCAGATGTCAAAACTCGGACCCCTTGAGAAAAACCAGTCAACACCCTTTTATACTCGACAATGTACAAGTCACGACACCAAGTCACGATAATGAATTTGAACATCACTCTGTGACATAAGCACAAAATGACATCATGATATTAAGTCAAAAGGGGGAAGTCACGGTCACGTTGTTCATGTCATGGTCGTGACCGTGACTTGAGATGGCCTGTCGTGACATAAAAAATGCTCCTGAATCTTTGTGTAGGTCACGGTCTGAAGGTTGAATGTCACTACCCAGACCGTGACTTCGAACTTCTGGCCGTGAATTTTGACTCTTGTTCACCTTTGTCCCATTTTCACCTTCAAATGTCCCGAAACTCACTCCTATGCTTTATCCACTAGAGCTTGGAATGTGACAAAAGAAGAATAACCTAGCATTAATAGGCCAAAAACCACTAAAACCAAGCTAAACGACCAAGAAATGAGGATACAAAATATGTATAATATCAGGTTTTATGCAACAAACTAAGGGGAGCATTGTATTCAACTATGGTTGAGACATTTCCTTTTTATATATTCGTGTGAGTCTTGTGTAACCTGAAATTCTTGGACAGGTAATCGGCTGCAAAAAAAAAAAGCAAAGAAAGGGAGAATGTTATGATTCCCTTTTTGCATACGACACCACACATGTAAGCCCAACCGATCAAGAAATGATAATATCTTATTCTATTTTCTACATAACAACCAAGGTGGAAAATTGACGAAGTTTAAGTGAAGAAAACAACCTTTCAACCTCTGAACGCCTGTCGAGCTTGGTCGACAAAACGTGGGCCTCAACCTAAGTACAAAAGCCAACCGTTGGAAGGAATCTTCTATTATTCTATATTAATCACTAACTAGTTGTTGTGGAACTTGAGTTATGGGTGATGCTTTCACACGATGTTCTTAGTTGGGCGGGAAAAGGTGTTTTTGAAGGGTGATGCGAAGTTTGTTATTGATCAGGTTGACTCGTTGTTGGTTTCAGATGGCAAAAAACAAGACCATACTCGGAGATATTCGTCAAGTATGTGCAACATGCCCCAACTTTGGACTTCAATTTATTGGTAGGTAAGACAATAGAGCGATTAATTTGGTAGCTAAAATGTCATTTTTTTGAGTCCTTTTTTTTTGGGTAAGATTCTTTGTGTCCTTTTAGCATAGTAAGGTTTGATTTTTGTCTATAATTGTCCTCGATTTTGTGAAACAATGTATCCATATTTTCTTAGTAATTCAATTCAAACGTACGAGTATAAGTGCTACGTTTTCTTCGAGTAAAAGCAGAATAGAGAGGTGTGGTATATTACAGAAAAGTATCCTCATCGCCAAAGAAACTCCAGAGTCATCCCGCTCTTGTCCATTCCGCACCGCATAGACGAGCAGACAGACAGAGCCGAAGAAGTCTCTTTCTTCCCCCTCTGACACTCATCGGTCCGATTTTTCCCTCCTTGGGGCAACTCGGATATCTCCGCTTCCCGGTGAAAAAGAAGAAGGGTTGCTTCCAAGCAAAACGGGCAAAAGACCGAACAAGTCCGATGTCTACGTCATCTCCGACTGCTACCCATCTAGTGCTTCTGCTCCTTTCCGTCTTAGGGTTAGGTTTCGGTTCTGGTTACAGCCACGCTCTCAAAGTTCCGTTTAGGGTTAATGATGTTCTCCCGGTGCTTCCGCGTCAAATTGCGTGGCCCGTGTTGAACAATCTCCACGCTGCCGTTGACTTGATGCCGTATTACGTCGGATCGGTCACTCCGGCGAACGGGACGATTCGGTGGAAAGGAGCTTGCTTTTATGACAACGAAGCTCGAATCGACTTCACCCATGGCGATCGCGACGAGCCTGGTTTGGGCGGTGGCGTGCTCTACCTAAAGGTTTTGGTTCCTTCCCTTGCTATAAGGAATATGAATTATTTAAATGGCTGCATCTGATCATTTCTTGCTGTAATTGGTTAGTTAAGTAGTGGAATACATAAATTTCGAATAGATTCTGTTCAAAAGCGAAGAAATAGGAATATTCAGCTATCCCGGTAAAGTGCTGGATCTTGGGTTGATTATTCTGACATTGAATTGATCCTTTTTTTCCCCAACTAAATAGGACGATGAACTATCCTCGGTTGTGAAGCACATTTCGAAGAGTTTAATTTGTTTTGTTTCCTTTTACAGACATCCGCAGCACATAGTTGGACCTGTATGGATTTGTATGTTTTTGCTACGCCGTATAGGGTTACATGGGACTACTACTTTTCTGCCAGAGATCACACACTGAAGTTTGATTCATGGGAGGAACGTGCAGAGATGGAATATGTATGACTTTTAATACTTTGTATTGTTTTTGTTTGTGTCAGTGTTATGCTTAGAACTGCTTGGTGGTGATTTTGGGGTTGAAATTGTTTGCAGGTGAAGCAGCATGGGGTATCTGTGTTTCTGATGCCTGCAGGAATGATGGGGACCATGCTCTCTTTAGTAGATGTTTTGCCGTTGTTCTCGAACACAGCTTGGGGTCAGAGTTCTAATTTGGCTTTTCTAGAGAAGCATATGGGTGCCAAGTTCGAGAAGCGTCCTCAACCATGGCAAGTGACTATAAACCCCGATGAGGTTCACTCTGGTGACTTTCTTGCTGTTTCAAAGATTCGTGGTCGGTGGGGTGGGTTCGAGACTCTAGAGAAATGGGTAACTGGTGCATTTGCTGGTCACACAGCAGTTTGCCTGAAGGATGAGCAAGGCAATCTATGGGTTGGTGAATCAGGCCATGAGAATGAAAAGGTACAATGGAACGTCCTTTTTTGTTGGCTCGAACTACAAAGGTGCTCCTTTTCCACTGTTAGTCTGTGTTTAATCATTAGAGAAGGTTGTGACTCACTGATCTGATTTTTTCTTGTCATAATATATTGCCAAGGCTAAACCCCATGACTCTAGGGTTACCTGTGTATTGTTGTTGTTTGCTCATCCCATATTTGATCTTGATTCTCAGGGTGAAGAGGTAATAGCAGTAATTCCATGGGATGAATGGTGGGCATTGTCCTTGAAGGATGATTCCAATCCACAAATTGCTCTGCTTCCCCTGCATCCAGATGTGCGTGCTAGATTTAACAACACTGCAGCTTGGGAATATATGCAGACCATGGCTGGGCAGCCATATGGTTACCATAACATGATATTTAGTTGGATTGATACAATAGCTGACAATTATCCACCACCTCTTGATGCTCACTTGGTAATAAGCCCTCTCCAACATTGTTTTTACTGATTATGTTGAGTCGGGCACCAATTTCTGGATTTTGTTGTTTGCTTTGTGTCTCTCTAGTTCTGTCAAATTCCATTGACTTGCTCCTTGGGCACACAATTCTTATTTTGTTAGAGATGGATGTCTGTTTATCTTTACTTTCGATTGTTGTAAATTATAATGGATTTTCTTAGTCTCAACTCTGGATGTAACTTTTTCCAGGTCATTTCTGTCATGTCTATGTGGACTCGTGTGCAGCCAGCATATGCTGCAAACATGTGGAATGAAGCCCTAAACAAACGGCTGGAGACTGAGGTGATTGTCTTAATTTACCACTCCAGTCCGCTAGATTTATCTCTGTTCCTAGATATTCAAGTTGGTTTGCGTTCCTTTCAGGATTTGGACTTGTATGGAATTCTTGCTGAGGTGGAAAAGCGCGGCATGTCCTTTGATGAGTTACTCACGCAACCAGAGCAAGATGAATGGGTATATAGTGACGGGAAATCCACAACCTGTGTTGCTTTCATTCTCCAAATGTATAAGGAAGCTGGATTGTTCGATCCCATTGGCAGCTCCATCCAAGTGACTGAATTCACCGTAAGTCCCTTCCATTTACTTCTCGATTTGGTCTTGCTATGTTTTTCGATATCATCACCTTTTTGGCTTTTTTTCTTTAGTTCTTTTTTTCACCTTTTGTCTGTAATTTCCCGCAGATTCGTGATGCTTACATGCTCAAAATATTCGAGAACAATCAAACCCGCTTTCCTAGCTGGTGCAGTAATCGAGATGGCCGGCTCTCGTTCTGCCAAATCCTCGGTGAGTACTGGATGGAGTTGCCCGAGTACAATAGCATAGAGCCATATGCCAAGATGAACGAAAACTGCCCATCTCTACCTCCCATCTATGACAGGCCTTCTCAGTGTTAAAGCTTTTTAATATATAACACATCCCTTTCTGTGCCTTTCTGCCAACCAGAAAGGTACTACTCAAATACCACGTCTGTAGCACTACTACACCATTTCTTACACTATACTTGAACCCATGCTTGTAAGTGTAACTTATGTGTGCTTCTGTACATAAAACCACGCCGATAGTGGGTCTATTAGTTCAAGTTTGGAACTTCTTAGTAGAATATATGTTTGCTATGAATTGTATGAATCAGAATAAATGTGGAGCACGCACAATCTCTGTTTATACCTGCAATAGCAGCATATTTCTGTTATAAAGAACACTGGTGAAAACAAATCCTTTCCTATTTAAAGGCAAGCCAGGTTTAGTTTTTTCCCATGCTATTTTTACTGTTACAACTGGGGCAGAGTTCCAGGAGTGGAATTACTGGGAAATATCTTACAAGAACAGCCTACATATTAATGATACTGATTCAACTCTGATATGATCTGCCAAGGGTAAATAGAAAAATGAAGAGGAAGCTATAGTCCAGATTCAGATTTCTCCATCCCAGAGCTCCTCAATTGTCTTGAAAGGGCCTTGGTCTGAGATGTAATCTTGTCCCTGGCACCCTCTGCTTTGGGGGATCTCACTCAGCTTCTTGTTCTCTTCTTCAGAAAATGCCCAACTGAAGATGTCAAGATTCTCCTTCATTCTCTCCTCGTTGAAGCTCTTCACCACAACGCAAACCTCCTGCTCGTATGCCCATCTCAGGCAAACCTGTGGACAAGAAAATGGGTTAACAGTACCTTGTGCCAGATACTATGGCTCCATAAGAAAAAAAACTGGAACTTGGTAAAGTGAACTTTGATCACATAGAAGATGGATTACGCAGAAGAAAAAGGCACCTGGGCTACAGTTTTCCCTTTGGCACGGGCAATTTCTCCAAGGATTTCATTTTCAAGGACCCTGTTGCTCCCCCAAACGGTTCCTTTGGCTCCCAATGGAGCATATGCACTCAGAATGATCCCGTTTGACTTGCAGAAATCCCTCAGCTTCTTCTGTTGCCATAGTGGGTTTATCTCTACCTTTCAACGCCATTCCCCCCACCAAAAAGAAAAAGCACCACCATTAAACTCCAAAAAAACAGAGCTTTGTTCTTGTTTTGAATATCGCTCGCTTAAGATCTTGATTGACATAGGAACTTACTTGATTAACAGCCGGTGGAATCTTGGCAAGGGCAAGGAGATCCGTGAGCTTTTTACAGGTGAAATTACTGACTCCAATGTTCTTGGTGAGCCCCATATTCTGGCACTCCTCCATTGCTCCCCACACGGCTGCATAGTCCATCGCCATGAAATCTTCCTTCTTGATCGGGAACTCGTACGCTCCCGGGCGCGAGCTCACTGGCCAGTGAATCAGATACAGATCCAGATATTCCAGTTGAAGGTGGCTGTCAAATTCACATAAGCAGAGCATCAATTTACCCACCAATGGAAAGAAACAGAGGTAAAAATGTAAAAAAAAAAAAAAAAAAACAAAACAGGGGGAGCAGAGGAATTGTGCGGGGAGTTCAAATAACTGGAGGCTTTTCTGGAGGGCGAGGAGAACGAGATCGGCGTGGGCGTCGCTACACCAAAGCTTCGAGGTAATGAAGAGCTCGTCGCGGGATTGGATTAAGCCACGAGACAGAGCTTCGGCGATGGCTTCCCCGAGAGGCTCCTCTGTCTGGTACAGGGTTGCTGTGTCGAAGTGGCGGTAACCCAACTCAATGGCTTGGACGACGGCAGACTTGGTGGCGCCGGACCCGATCAGTGGAGAAGTCGCCGTACCCATTCCGAGCAACGGCATCCTCCGGCCGCTGGAGCTCAGTATCACCTCCGGTATGATGGTCGCCGGATTCGTATCCATCTTCTGTTCGCGCTCTGTTTGATTTCTCAAAGTTTGTGGTAAAACAAAATTGGCAAACTCCCTTTTAAGATATCGTCGTCAAGAGAGATAACCCAAAACCCAGATATGTTCGCGTCCCAGCAATTTTGTCAGAACGTCAATGGAACGATCGGCTCTTTGCTTTCCAAACAGAGGCAAACCAAATTGCCCAAATGGGGGAAAAAGGTTTGAGTAACTTAACTACAGAGGAATCGGTCAAAGCTTTTTATCTTTTGATTTATTCTAACTGTGTAGTAAGAAGATGTGGTTGATAGCAGGAAGAGATAAATATGGTGTGTGGAAACAAAGTCACCCACCCACCACATCCGCCATTTTTTAAGCCTTTTCTTTAGCTCCGTCTTTGCACTTTGCAGGCGAGTGAAAATTACTAATTTGTATTAGTTATTATTCAATTGATAAAATAATAATTTATTAATCTAAAGAGATTTTGTATACGGTATATAGTTCACATAAATAACTTTACAATCTTAAAATCATATTCATACATGGTGTGCTAATTAAATTCATGTGTAGATATAATTTGTTATATTTTGATAAACTTAACTATCAAGGCTGTTTGTATTATGATATTATCTTAATCGTCCATATTCATACATATTTACTTTTGTTCTGTATACAACGAACATATTTACTTTGAATACCTTATAAACATTCATTCTATCTTCCAAATATTTAAAGTTCATATGATAAATTATCAAATTATCCGTATTCACTGTACCGAGGCGCAAAATTTAGAAAGAATAACGGTCGACGTCACTGGGAGTTCGAATGGGGATAAAAGAGATGATGATTCAAGACCGTTGAAAGCGGTCACACGAAAGAAAGCGCTTAAATTCGCATTGACTTTTTGAAACTACTTGGTGCAACTAGATACCGGAAATTTTGAGTGCAACGAGTAAAGTTCAAGATTAACTTCTAGTAGACTTGAACTTCAAGAAGAAACAAAAAACTATAAATTCATATTTTTCTAGATTATCCAAATTACATTGTAAATTTCTTGATGAATTTTATTTTTATAATTATGAATTTAGAATTAAAAATATCTATTTATGTAGATTTGTTATAAATATTATTAGTTTTTCTAATTTTTACAGTGGCCCAAATTGAAATCATTAAAAGGATTATTTTGTATTAGATTATTAATTTATCAAATGTTAATTTATAGAGATTTTATTCAATATACGAACTATAAAATTGGTTTGCAAGTTGCAACCATAAATTATCACACGGGGATGCGCATACATTTCCATGCCATTATTCAGCCAGAAAATCATGGGAGCACCAAAAGATGGTGGAGTTTCCCTCACAAAGAAAATGGAGGAAACAATATAATATGATTTATTGATTACGCATGGGATAATAAAGGAATCGATTCATCGAATTAACTTGCAGTCTTGCAAAAAAAATAAAAAACGAATTAGTCCAGCAAGAGTACCAAAATGCATGGTTGTTAAACTACCAATACGCTGGCTAGTATAATCGAGTTCAATAGGAGTTGGACAAAAATCAGCTTGAAGATCATTGGTATGAAGCAATAGTCACAATCGGTAAAAAGTATGATTACTCGTTGTCTTTTATTTAAATATGCATTGAAATTGTAAATATTTTGTCTTAAGATAGTTATATGAATGCACAGTTCATTTGGTCTTCATGATTTTTCACTTTCTCATATGTTTTATCAAAATTGAGATACAAGATGGTTGTATCACGGTTGAACCGTATCACTCACTAAATCGGTATAACGATAAAAACTAATTTGACAACCTTGCCTAAATGTGAACCATAAATGCAAACCTACATTAAATCTTTTTAAAGATCGACTAACTTGTGTCGATCCCTTCTTTGTAGGTAATTTACATCTAAGGATCATTATAAAAGCTTTTTATTGTGAGATATCTAGTATTCAAGTATCTATGTGAATACAGTTTCTTATTAAATTTATGAAATATTTTTCAAACCTTGTATTATGGAGTATGTAGGAGAAACAAGTCGAGTACGTATGGGGCAAGTTCGACTCGTCCCTAAATGTCATTTTTGGTTTCTTTGTGGTGCTTATGGAAGTTTACTAGAATTCCTAGTTGTAAAGTAAATGAATTGTCATACTATATATGCTTTTTGCAAGCCGCTCGACTGCAATTCACGAGGGAACAATAAATTCTAATAAAATCAAACTGAATACTCCTTAGAGTGAGTTTTCCGTGAAATATCCTCGTGCTTAGTTCTTACGAACGAGGAGACCACATAAATCATCGACTTTATGTATTTGTTCTTCATTTTTCACATGGTATCATAGTTTTGAGTAGCTCTCTATACAGTTTTCATTGGACACTAAGAGTTTTGAAGATGAAAAGTTGGAAGTTATCTTGTAACGGAGACTTCAAAGAAGAGCGTTGCTAGTAGCGGTGATGATTTCTAGCTGCTCTTCATTCTTCGTAATTCATATAGTCCTAAATCCTAATCAATCATTTGTTGGGGGAACTATAAACTACGGTGAGTCGCTTGACGATATTACTAACTTCCTTATTGTAAAGAATAAGTTCGGTTTCGTTGATGGCTTCATCTCCAAACCAAAAGAAGGGGCCCTACAAGATTAGTGGAAGAGATGCGATGAAATGGGAAAAGGCTGGTTGAAAACATGTGGTTGGATGGCTCGAGACATGTGGTTGGATGTCGAGGCCAGGTTCATCTAAGGAAGTGCACTCCGGCTGTATGAATGACGACGCACGATTAGCCTATTGCAAAAAGAAAATTCCAGTATTTTTGGTTTCTTCACGAATTTGCGTGGCTTATGAGATAAAATCCAATCGAATTTAGCCGCTCTTGACTGCTATTATTGGGGATGCAATTCTGACTGTCAATCAAACCGAAAACACGAAGAATACAAGACGTGGATTAATCGTGGTTTCTCTAACGATTGTCGTTAGGACTAGTTCACGGAGAACGGCGGCCGATCTTATTCATGTAATTGTTGAACTTCTGTACAACCATGCACCTAATATATATACAGCTATACTAACCCTAACCCAGCAAACTACATTTTGGTACTTGGACAATTACATATAGATACATCTACTTTAACACCCTCCCTCAAATTAATGTAGCTGTCGCAACATTAATTTGTGCGCAAGAAACCAATGTCAAGCAGATGCAACAGCCTTGGTCAACAGATCTGCAGTCTGATCCTCAGAAGTTATGTAAGCGAGTTCCACTTCACCCTCTGCAACCAGTTGACGAATATAGTGAACGTGAACCTCGATATGCTTTGTCCTGTCATGAAGTACCGGGTTAGTCGCAATACGAATAGCACTCGTATTATCCACATGTAAGCGAATAGGTGGACGAACAACCACTCCAAGCTCGGCTAAAAGCCGTTTCAGCCACACTATCTCAGAAGCAACTTCACTCATCGACCTATACTCAGCTTCAGTCGATGACTTCGATACCCTGTCCTGCTTCTTACAGCGCCATGATATAAATGAGTGTCCCAGCCTAACACACCATTCTGAGGTAGATCGTCTAGTATCCAAACAGCCCGCATAGTCTGCATCAGCATAGGCCTCCATCACTCCCTCACCTGCCGCAGGAAACACAAGACCCACATCTTGAGTGCCCTTTAAATACCGCAGAATCCTCTGAACTGTAGCCCAATGAGGAGACCGAGGTGCATTCATGAACTGGCTCACCACCTGTACTGCATACGAAATATCCGGACGGGTATGGGTAAGATATATCCAGCTACCCACTATACTGCGATACAATGAGGCATTAGAAATCAAGTCACCATCCCCAGAACGCAGCTTAAGATTTTGCTCCATAGGAGTACCACAGGGCACACACTCATCCATTTGTGCTTCCTCCAGCAGAACAATAATGTATTTGCGTTGGCAAACATGAAGACCAACTGCTGACCGATGTATTTCTAATCCCAGAAAATAAGATAAGTCACCTAATTCCTTGAGTTTAAAATCAGAATGTAGCACCCGTTTGAGCTCCTGTATACCAAGCTGATCATTCTCTGTTACGATCATATCATCAACATAAATTAAAAGCACTGTAAGACCACGACTGGTATTGCGAAGAAAGAGAGAAGGATCATTGTTACTCTAGACAAAGCCTGCATCAAGAATGGTGTCTTAGAACTTTTCAAACCATGCTCGAGGTGCTTGTTTCAACCCGTAAAGAGACCTCTTAAGCCGACACACCATAGAGCTGTCACCACGAGTATAAAGCATATATAGTACGACAATTGAGGATACCCTCTTAGCAGTCTATTCAAGAGGGCCTTATTTTCTTTAATCGAAATTCATGGCTAATCAAGAATCCTCCACAGTATAAGCATTGAGTGAAAAAATTAGAGAATCAACGATCATTAATCTGGCTAAAGACTGGGAAATTAGTATCTTAGTGACCTTTTTGATAACTGAAACTCAAATCAATTTCTTATTGTTTTCTAAATTCTTAATTTCTGACAATCGAATATGTTTGCTAGATAACAGACTAAAACCGAGCAGTAGTACATTTAGAGAACATGGATTGATAATTAAAACTTACTACCACTATATTGCGTTCCTGTCCTGGTTTCACTTGGCCTTTGATTGGAGTTGTAGTTTTAGGGAGTAAAGTTGTTGGCGCTAGGGCTGGGAAACGGTGCGGTCTGGTCCAGACCAGACCATATATACGGTCTATGGTCCAGACCAAGAGGCTGAAGTATAGACCATAGACCAGACCACAGACTATACGGTCCGGTCCAGACCATGCCTGTGCGGTCTGGTTTGGTCTGGTCCAGATAGACCACACTCAAAGAAAAATGAATAATTTGTTTAGTCAACCACACAAAAAATTGAACCAATAACCAAGAAAAATAATTGTTATTTGCCTTAAAACATTAATCCTAACATGCATGAATAATTTTGATATCCTAAATCTTAGAAATAACAAAAATACAAAGTAAAAGCATACAAATTTGCATCATAACGTTATAAACATTAACATAATGTCATATGGAGACATAATTATCTCTACTCTCTGGTTAAATGTGGTTGTGAACGAAGGAGGGACGAGATTCTCAAAATTAAGGTTGAGATTTGGGTGTCGTTGCGTGAGTTGGGAGAGTGATCGAATGGGCTATTAACACGTATTGACAAGTCGGTTGGGTCCACGGTTTGGTCCGGTAAACCGCGGTCTAGACCAGACCAGACCAAGAGATCAAAACATAAAATAAACCAGAACATGGACCAGACCAGACCATACTTAACGGTCTACGGTCCAGACCAAACTGTGCGGTACGATTTGGACCACGGTTTTTCTAACGGTCTGGTCTATTTTCTCAGCCCTAGTTGGCGCCGTTGTCGGAGAGCAGTTCTAGGTTATTAAGAAAGGAATACAATTGTTATTTTATCTTTACCTTTAATTTTATGTTTATTTGTTTTTCCCACCTATTTTTTTTCACAGTTGTTTTACTTTTGTGTGTGGTAGGTAGTGCAATACCCGTAGCCAACCGGGTTATTTGCTGCCTCCGCACGACAATATCAACCGGACCTTGCGCACCCTTAAGTGAGAAAGGGATCGACAAAGAGCTCTAGAGTTAGCAACACATCAGCGATCCCCTCACGAGGAAGCCTAGCTAGGTTGGTGAAATAGGGGACGAGCAAATTAAAGAGTACCACCACCCAATGACGAGCCTGAAGCTTAGAATTATATCATGTGGTACTACGTAAGTCCAAAGGTCGACGATATTAAATCAATCATCTTGCAATCGTCTATTGCTGCCAACAATTTTGAGATCAAGGCAGTGTGATCTCTATGTCCAGAGCGATGAGACTCTCTATGATGCTCGATCGGGAGAGGTTTATATGCATGTTTCTGAAGTGCCCACTTCAAGGGTTAATCATTGGTTCTTTGGTGTCTACGTTCTACAACGAGATGTTACAAGAAAATCGTCATATCATTCTGATGTGACACGACTAATTCAACTGTTATATATATGTAAGAAAAAATTATCGTTAGCATATGTATTTGTAACTATTTTAATGCCTTCGATTGGTCGAAAAATTCAAGACAACGAATTGTAAAAAATCAAGCTACCGCCGTAGGAATTCCCAAACATTTTTTTCCACGACCAAGTAAATTAAACCACCATGGTATATATATCGGACAAGAAACAATGTAATTTCATATCAACAATGTGGGACTCAGACGACAAAACCACGAGAACAACAAAATATAGTATTGTTTCACCCCCCAAAATTAGAAATAAGTAGACGATATGATGAACGGAATGTTTTTTGCAGCAGGCAAATAGTGATCGATGAATAAATGAAGAAGAACAAGTTTCAATTTTTCTTGGTGGTTTTCTGGTACTTGTCCTTCATCCACAGCATCCCAATCGAAGCACCGGCTTTCACTTTCTTCATCCCAGTGTTGGCGACCTCTTTGGTTTTGTTAAGCCCTTCCTCCATCTTCTTCGAGTACTTTCCTTTCCCTCCGGCGTCTGATCCGTTGCCGCCGCCGCCGTGGTTCTCTTGATTCCTATCCCACTGATCAGCCCACGTATCCCCGCACGAACCCTTTGATCCCATTTGATCACTAACGAAATTTTCCTCAATATATCGGAATGAACGCAGATAAGTTGCGCAGAGTTGCACATTCACAAATTAACAAGGGGAAGTAGTGACGATTCTGAATTATTGTTGGGTTTTTCCCCAGAGATATATATATAAAGCCTACAGTCTCTCACTAGGCATGTTAATTGGCTTTATTGATGAAGGTCGGTAAGTAGCATATATATATTTTAGTTGGACGCTGCAGGATTCTTCTAAACCGAGGCTGGTTTGCTGAGCTATGTGCCATTTTCTTGTCGAGTTGGATGCTGGCGGCCGTCCATTACATTGTTCGAGGATCTGCTTAAGCTAGCAATTAGCGAACATATATATACGTATTAATTCGACCCTCAACAGAATTTTTGCGATACTTGTTTATCTTGTTGGCATCATGCTGCCAGGTTAGTTTGGTTCTTGTTCTTGGAGCAGTGCTAACTGCTAAGTGACAGTAGTATATCATCAATTCATCCATTTCTGCCAGGTTTGGTACACAATTCTTTTACCGCCTAGCTTTGCCAACTTGGTCTTTCTATACTGTGCCAAGCCTTGGGGATATATGCTTACATCCCTCTTTGTACTTTCATAATATACTCATTTTCTTTACGTTAATAATAAATTAATGTCACCGATGTTTTTATCAATTTTCGGAGGGATTTTGAGAGATGGAAATTCAATAGATACTCGTATTCCATGAGGACTAACAAATATACAAATCATTTTTTTTTTTTTTTTGCATAATGAGCGTGGTCAGAGATGAAAATCAAATCCAACAATTGCCGAAGGATATATAGAACGTCATAGCTTTCTTTGTCGCAAAATGATTGGCTCCTTCGTTCAAACTTCGACTAACAAGAAGGGGACTATATATATGTGCATCTCATTGGATCATAACATCTAGCGAACCCATTCCCTGTCACCATAACACAACATCATGTAATGGTAACAGTTGTATTGTAAGAGGATCATAGATAGCTTGATAACATCGATCTCCTGCTACCCATATGGGCCCGTGGAATCACAAAGCACAACTCCCACAACACCATGTGATCCACATTGAGTCGAACCATCAAAAGGAACAAGAATTTGCAAGCTCGACCACAGTTTAAATCACAACATTTTGTCTCCGAGGTTGGAATAGCATTGGTTCACTAGCAGTTAGAGAGCACTTCCAAGTACATCCTACACCCGAAAACTCCATTGCTGACCCAACACGGGTAGGGGGTGAACAAAATGATTTGTAAGCTGACGAGCCACTCATCAAACCTGATTCAGTTCACCTGTATTTACCGCTAAGATTAAAACTTTTTGTTGGGTGAGAGGTTTCTTTTGTGGAACCCCACTATTTTGAGTTTGGTGCTAGTTTTTGGTTTAGGCAACACATATAGATACATAACCCAACCTCTGTTACAACAACTATTGTCCTAAGTGATTGTAACGAAAACATTTTTGGGTCATATAGCCTATTTGTGAGGAAGTTCGGATATTTTTTCATATATTTGCTCTTATGTTCTCATTAACCTAATGCATTATTTAACTGAAAATTTAGACATAGACTAATACATGTTATGTTTCACATTATCTTTTTTCTTGTGTACAATTTTAGAAGATAATATATTATGAATTTATTACCTTATAATGAAAAACCTCTTTAGTTTATTTCGGTAAATATTTATGAAAAATTACTAGACATATTTTGAATCAAATTACACTCATCAAGATCCAACACCAACTTCTATACATTTTAATGATGTTCCCTTTGATTTTTCTTGAAATTTAATTAGTTATATTATCTTTTCTTTTATTATACAAACTAGTTGCGTTTTTCATGTGTTGGGTTGGATTTTTAATTAAATGTATAGTTCACCCGATAGGTAAGATATCCAAACTCAAGGGTTAAAAGTTAAAACTCAACCAAACTAAAAAGTTTTGGGTATGACATCTCCTATATCTATAAAATTCATTTGGATTTAGATTTTAAATCCAACATAACTAAGTTGGGTGAGAAAATAATCCCCTCTCTCATTCTTTAAAACTTATTGGACGTCAATATGCATCCATTTATATAAACTTGGACCTCTAGACTCTCTTACTTAAGTTTTTCAACCCATTATTGACCCGAGCGGTCAAACCAGATCCAATCGGACCTGTACTCTTTATCACATGCCACAAACCCAGTTTACTAGAAACTCGAATATGGACAAAGTCGAGGCAATATCAAACCATTTTTCGAACGGACCGAGTTGCAACAAGATGAAAAGTTAAGTAGTATTTTTGGTAGATCATAATTTTAAAAAAAGACAATTAATTATGGGGATTGCTATTCGTCGCCTTAAAAATTCTTATTCGTCGTCCTAATTAAATTAATTTTACTTTAATGTCCTAGTTTTTTTTTAAATACTTAGTTCATTATTTTAAACATTTAAACCCAAAACATTGTTATGAATTACCGAAAACAAAAAAAAACAAAACAAAACAAAATTATAACTGGAACCGGCCCATTGCTGCTCCTTGCGTCACTGATAAGTTCCTAGAAAGTAGAAACCACCAATCACGTTACCCAGATGGTATGTTTATTGAAATGAGACCATTAAATCCCCAGAAGTGAAAAAAACATCAATAAGCTTATCACATATGACGATTTCCCTATCAAATCCCACCTTCAAAACTCTCGCATTAAGCTTCTGGCAATCCGCTAACATCCCAGAGGCTAGAAGTAAGACAAAAGTCCAGTTTAACAGCGATGACAACGGTAGCGTCCGGCTTGCTTCTTCCTCCTTTCTCCGACGGTCGAGTAGCAGCAGCGGGAATAGATGGCGGGAGCTGTGTAGGCGGAGCAGGGGTTCTGGGTTTATGCGGCGAATATGAGTTGGGGGTGAGGGAAGGGATTGTTTGGTGAGAGTTAGAATTGAAATTAGGTTAAGGGTAAATATGTAAATCAATTGCATTTTAGGGCGATAAAATTTGAATTTTAGGGCGACGAATAGCGATTCAGTTAATTATCTCAAAGTTGTTAACTCAATTTGAATCTCTAATCTGTGTCCAACAAAGAAGGCCGCCCCCTCCTTCCTCCATCTTGGGAGAGAGAAGGAGATTGGTGAGGGGGAAGAGAGAGAAGCATATCGTTTTAGAAATGTTGATTTCGGTCCCACATTTTAGAAGAGGGAGATGAGTAAAAAGCGAATATCGAGTGGTCGCTAAGGTTGACACTCCTTCGTCAGATCTGTACGTTGATTCCCGACTCCAAATCCATTTGTTGCTGGTGGGTTGTGAAGGAGAAGGGACTGGCAGTGGAGGTGGACGGACTTAGCTCCTAGTTGTGATTCCCAGCAGCCTTGTCTATCATTGGACCTCGTATTTTACATAAAAACTACTAATTCTTTTATATTTTGCTTTTTTAGTCTTCCAGATTTGTCCAATGCTTGATCCAAATCCTCTTAGATTGTATTTTACTTTGAAAATCACAAAAGATATAAAAAACATAAAGGAATACAAAAACACAATCTAGGTCTATCAAATGTCCATTGATCAAATAATTATGATTGAAGTACAAAATATAAGTAATATACTAAAGATGCATTGATAGAAGGGGAAAATATATCAAATATGGGTGTGATAAACACTATAAATTGAGTGTCATTAGCTTTGTAGAGAAATAAAGTGTGGGGTAAGCCCAACATGTGAGACATCTTTTTATTGCAAAAAATTTGGTTTTGAAAAGATACTAGTGGCTTATTAGTGACCTTGTTCGAAGCTAGTTTCTCTCTAGTAGAAATAAAAATTTCACCCGTTGAATTGATAGCCAACTTGATGATTCATTTTTAAGGGCACAGTTAAAGATCCAGAGTTTAAACGTTGTTCTCTAACTAAGGTTTGAGCACATATTTATAGTACATGAAGGGGTAAACTAGGGATATTCTCTCCTAAAACTCAGTCATAGGCTTCCTAACACCACTAGGAGTCGATTCTCTGTATATATGAAAATATACTAAAGATGCATTGATAGAAGGGGAAATGTATCAAATATGGGAATGACAAACACTAAAAATTTAGTTTCATCAGCAATGTTAAGAAATAAAGTGTGGGGTAAGGCCAACGTGTGAGACATCTTTTCATTGCAAAAAATTGGGTTTTGGAACGAATACTAGTGACTCTTCAGTGACCTTGTTCGAAGCTACTTCCTCTCTAATACAAGTAAAATTTCCACCCGTTGAATTGATAGCTAACTCGATGATGCATTTTTAAGGCATGGGTAAAGCTTCTGACACCCTTTAATTTCATTGACCCTCTGCACGAATTGAGGTATAGGAGTTAAAAGAAATACTCTGACAATGACGAAGATACATAAATTGCTCTTTCTAACTAATAAGGGTCTAATGCTCTCCTAAAACTCAGTCATAGGCTTCCTAACACCACTAGGAGTCGAATCTCTGTATATATGAAAATATACTAAAGATGCATTGATAGAAGGGGAAATGTATCAAATATGGGAATGACAAACACTAAAAATTTAGTTTCATCAGCAATGTTAAGAAATAAAGTGTGGGGTTAGGCCAACGTGTGAGACATCTTTTCATTGCAAAAAATTGGGTTTTGGAACGAATACTAGTGACTCTTCAGTGACCTTGTTCGAAGCTACTTCCTCTCTAATACAAGTAAAATTTCCACCCGTTGAATTGATAGCTAACTCGATGATGCATTTTTAAGGGCATGGGTAAAGCTTCTGACACCCTTTAATTTCATAGGCTAATACCACTACAACACCCGAACTATCCGGAAAATGCCACTTGTGTCCTATTGTTTCCAATATTTCATCTGTGTCCTGAACTATTATTCCGTTAGTGTTGACCGGTGTTGACCGTTAGCATTTAACATAAAATCCAGTCAGCGTTGACGTGGCATCTGACGTGGAATTTTTATTATCAATTTTTATTTATTTTTTCATCTAAAATCATTAAAATAAGGAAAACAAAATAAAAATTATGGAAAATTACAAAAATAAAAAAAAACAACTCAAATCAGTCGATTCTCATCGGCTCACTGGCGACCCTGCTTCTCTTCTCCAGATCGTCGATTCTCTTCTCCAGATCGACGATTCACTCCCTCTCCTTAGCAACTCCCCTTCTCCCACCGCCTCCACTAACTCCCTCTCGTTGCTTTTCTGCTCTCTCTCTCTCTCTGCTCTCTCTCTCTCTCTCTCTCTCTCAACTTTCAATCTGGAAGTCTTTGTAAATGGCGGACAGCGCAATTAGGGATTGGAATTGTGGCGGCGGCGTTCAGATTAAGGGCGGCGTTCATCCAGCGGGTCGCCACCTCCGAAGTCCTTGGGCGAGCGCTTGAGAAGCGGAGGCAGCGATTCTTCGTCGTCATCGTCCTCTTTTCCGTCGCTCTTCCCGAAATCGGCGGCACCGCCCTTGTACACCGTCGTGGCGTAGATGTCGTCGGTCTCTGGTCTGTGAGAGGGTTTGGCTCTGGCTCTGGCTCTCGGCTCCGCCTCGGATTCTGACGAGGAATCATGGACCACGACGATGGAGTAGATGTCGGTTGTCGGAGCCGGCGGTTTCCATGACCGGCGAGAAGTGGGCGTATAGATGTGGGTTTGAAGCGGCAACTATGAATTCGTCGGAGCTAGATCTATACTTCTCTCATGGTAGCTATAGATCTCTGGGTTTGGATTGATTTGCGGCCTGCAGAGACTGGGGTCTTGGCTGCTCATTGTTTGAAGCGAATCTGAGAGTGAGAAGGGATATTCTTGTATGATTAATTGAGGAAGATTGTGTGGCGAGAGTTCCTGATTAGGCTATCTCTGCCCAAATCCTGCTTCGGATTTCATTTGATCTGGTGCGGCGGGATCAATCGTCGGCAGCAAGAGCCAAAAAGTGGGTTGATTCACAACCCTCTGCTCTCCCTCGCCGCCACCGGCGACCAAACGATTTTCCGGCTTGGAGATTTTTTTTAGAGAAAGAGAGGGTGAATCGGTAGGGAAGAAGAATGAGATTTTTTATTATTTTGTTTTAAAGTTTTGGCTTAATAATATAATTGAATTTACATTTTTTTAATTTAACTCTTTTTTTTATTTTGAATTAAAAAAATATTAGGTCAATGCCGTGGCATCTATGTGGCAGCCTCTTTTTTTGCCACGTCAACAAAAGTCAACTTCGCGTTGACCACCGTTTGGTCAACCGTTATCTTTAACGGTCAACGAAATTGACAGGATACAAATGACACAAAGTATCATAGTTGAGGACATGAATGGAATATTTGATACAATAGGACATAAGTGACATTTTTTCGATAGTTCGGGTGTTGTAGTGGTATTAGCCCTAATTTCATTGACCCTCTGCACGAATTGAGGTATAGGAGTTAAAAGAAATACTCTGACAATGACTGTAACACCCTAACCCGGCCGGGTACTACTTTTACTAAAATGCCCTTGATAAATAAAGTACTCAAATCTCAAATTTCAACTGGGGAAAAATTTTAATAAATAAAATACTGAAAACACATACTTGTAGTTCAAAGCAAAGCCCTAACATGTGGGCAAATTAAACTCAAACTTTAAAAACTCAACTTGATCTCCAGTCTATACTCATAATCATAAAACATGATAACTAACTAGTCTCAAGTGTTGCTGCTTGTGTGAAAAACTCTGACTAGACATCCTCTGTGACGCTCGTACCGTCCTCCTCTAGCTAGCTTCACTCGAACTGTTTCTCTCGATCTCGCTGCTCTCTAACTGCTCCTCTAGCTTCTTCCTCTTCAAACTGGTGAGTGAGTTGGGGTCAGTCTACGCCCTTACGTTTAAAAATTCTTACTGCTTAGTACTTTACCTAAAACACTTACTTAAATTTGTGGAAGTTGTTTGTACTTCCACTCATAAAATCCCTAACTCTTAAATTGTATGGGAGTTACTGATACTCTCCACTCTTAAAGCTCAAATCTCGACTTAAATACTTGACTGACACTGGGATCCCTCACTAGCTAGTCCAGTTGCCAACTCATACGTATGAGAAGCCATCCAGGCTTTCCTTAAACTTAAACTTAGTTAGGGAAGTCGTAACGATTCATCCCCCTAACATCTTAAACTTATCGTGGTGGCTCTTCACCACGATTCTCAAGAGCATAACTGCTGCTCAACTTAAAAGTCTCAAGAGCATAACTGCTGCTCGATCTCAAAATGTCTCAAAAGGCAACGAACTGGCGCTAGTGACTAAAAACACTTAAAACGACTTCACCTTTTTGAAGGTGAGTTACTTCTTAAAAGAACTTGTTTCTTAAACTTTAACAATAACTTAAACACAACGCTTTAAGGTAAATAGCACAAAATCACCTCAGATCACATCAAATAGCACAAAATCACCCCAAACCATAACTCAAGCAAAACACACATAATCAACCATACACATAACCAAGCAACGGTAATCAATTCGCTGAAATACTTAAAATCATAATACTTAAACGAATACGTAAGGCGTAGAATTTACCCCCTTTACACTCACCTTATTAATCCAGTCGGAAAACTCAAATTGACCTCCATGTTCGATTGGTATTTCTCCGATGAACGAGTGGTCTCTATGAACCCCGCATGTGTGCCTCAATCTTGATGTAACGTTGTCGAGCTCTGACTTCTTCTTGCTTTTCTATCCAGCTCGAATTTTACATAAAAGCAACCACCAAAAGTTACTTTTAGATTCCTAATTGTGTAATTCAATTAGATTTTACTAAAGCTTCTTATTCCCCCACTTTAGAACCTCCTCCCACCTTTGCCAACATAAAGCCCTCTTCAATTTTGAAGCTGTCCACGTAAATAAATCCCTTCACCCATTATAATGGGACGTTCATCATGCAACCCCACCGCCCAGCAATGTTCCACGAGAATGACATTCGTATCCCACTATTTAAGCTTGACAAAGGATGAAATTTCTTACCCCAAGTGCAAGCATCGGTGCTGGCTTATGGTGAGCGATCCTCGTGGCGTGAAGGGCACAGCAAAATCCCTTGAGCTGATCTCATCGCCTGGTCTACTCTCTCCCTCTCTTATTTGGCTATCGCCGCCGCTTTAAGATCATTATGTTTACGGCAACCTTCAAGGGCAAACGAAAGGAACTTGTGACCTGGATGGAATCCCTTATCCTTCATTACGTCCAAACATTTCAAAACCTCCATCATTCCTTCAGCACCCATAAGCAAAGTGCAGCGAAAAGTATCAGAAGCAGGCACGTTTTCAGGATCCCAGCCAATTCGATTGATCCAAGCCAAGGCGAGCCACAAAAAGTGATCTTCCAATGTCGATGCTGCCTCCCAAGACCAGGCGATTCGCGATGAAGCTTTGGTGGTCGTGGAAGAGGCGC